ATATTGTGCAGTAGCGTTATGTTATACTGCATAGAATTCATTGTAAATCAGCTATTAAATCGCTTATTTAATTATCATAACTACAGATGTGAAGGCGGTTGTTAACGTTTTCAACCAAGCCGATAACAACGGTTGTTTTTGTCTTGAAATTGATAAAAATTGTGCAGTTGCGTTTTGTTAAGCTTTAACCTTTTGAGCGCCACGCCAAAAACGCATTACCGTGTCCTGTACGCCAAAGCGCCAAAACAAAATAGTGTTGCCAAGAGTTGATATATCGATAACGTGAAATAACTTGTTTTTGTTGGTTTTTTATGCTATAAATGACTCTTAATAAACTGTATGTTTTATTTAATCTTGTGCCGTCTTCCACTCTTTTTATATATGTACTTTGTACATATAAACATAAATAAAAAACAAACAATAACAATAAAATAGTAGTAAACATTAGCACTACTCTCCATCCTAATGACGACACTGTCGCGACTGGACAACGGCGTAGCTGACCTTCCCTTTTGAAACATTCTTAGAATGTTGTGTATCGATTTCAAAATCGATCTAACCGAAATATACAGACATCGATTCATAATATTTTATGTGTCGGGGAAGGCGTAGGCCAAGTGACGCACAGAAGAAAAGTCTTACACTCTTATGACAATGGGGATTTGATATGATGCTGATGCTGCTAGATGATTTTGAGACTGAGAAAGAAAATGGCACAACACAAAATGAAAAATTGCTCTTCACACCCTAAGTAAAAAAAACATTAATTGTAATTTTGTATTATTATTAAAAAAGGTACATAATTATTCATTAATCAACAATTGTATATAATTATTCGCACTAGGTAAATCAGCCTTATAATACTAAAATCTTGGTCATGGTATAAATAAACATATTTGTTCACCAATCAATCAAAAATTCAATTCATCAATCAAAAATCAAAATTCATCATCATCGACGCTTTCCAAAATCCGAATGAGTTCTGAGGAATCGTTCATGTTGCATTGCTCTACTTTTCTCGGTAATCACTTATGACGTCATCAGGGTGTCGTCTATCCTTGATCACGGTGCCCAGTGAACTGATTTTCGATGACGCGCTAAAGATGCGCTAGAGTTGAGATATTAGATTTATTATGCGAAGATAATCTGATAACATTTTTTTATTCATGTAGCTAATTATAGTTTTATGTTTATAACCTTTAATTTTATTCAAATATCAATAATAATAGAAAAAAAAACACCATTGAGCTGAATTTTGGATAGTTTTCAAGAAATCTATGCCTCCCGCGTTTGACACTAGCGGTCAACCATAGATGACTTTGGCGTGCTGGACATAGTATTTGCTTAGATAAAAATCCATTTTTATTAGTTCAATGTTTCTTAGTACTTGTGGCTCTAGAAGACTTGTTTTTTATACTCACATGTTGCTGGGTTATTCCTATTTTGAGGAGTGTAGAATTAAAATACCTGTAATAATTTTCCAATATCTATATTTCATATTTTTCGGAGCCGGGTTTTTTGTCAACTATAGACGTCGTTGGCGCTCAGGGCCCGCAGGTGTTGGTCAAGTATAGGCGACTTTGCCGCTCAAAAGGTTAAAGGATTCATGGTAAATCAGCTGGAAACTAACTTGTTTCGTTATCATAACATGATTCTATTTTAAATGTGTTGTTATAAACAGATAAGAATAACTTAACCGATCTTCTTTAAAAACAGATAAGAATAACAGTTCTTATCTGTTTTCAAAGAAGATCGGTTAAGATTAACAGTTAAATTGTGCCGTAGCATTTGTTACTCTCTAAAGAATTCATTAGAAATCAGCTAGTAATTCGCTTGTTTAATTATCGTAACATCATAATTATTTAAAAATTATATTAGCACTGTAATGATGACACCGTAAATAATCGATCGAAAAAGAGAATCGATTTTTTAAATGTGTTTTGTGATTGGCAACACTTTTTTTTTATTCACAAACTAATGACATAATGATTTACCTAATTTTTATTATTATGTTTCCGGTACTTTTAATTTGTGCAAAAATATTCCCATTGTTTGAGGATAAATGAATACCGCGATTAATAACCATAAATAAAGATATAATTTTTTAACAAATTCACATTGTTGGGCGTTCCATGGCCGAAAATGGGCGTCCCCCTTTTGGTAATTCAATCTGTAGTTTTTATTGTCACGAACCTCAAGCTCGTAACAATAATATTGGTTCACAATTAGGGCTTTAAAACCTAAAATTATGAACTAATAATGATTTTGACAATGTTTCAATAAAATTGTTGTGTAAATTTATTAGGGTTCTTCGCGATTAACAATAAACCAATTTACTATCAAAACAACAGTTTGTTATATGTTATTAGTTATATAAATAGTTCAAATAGATAGGTACCTACTACTACTAAGTAGACTTAACTGCGATCGATTATGTATGTAGTAAGTACCAATTTTAAATGTTTCAGACTAACGAGAGCGCTTCTTTAACAAATATTTATAAGAAAAATTATACTCAAGAACAGTTAGAGCGCGCGGTAAAACTTATAAAACAAAATCAAATATCCTTAAGCAAGGCTAGTAAAATATATCAAATACCAAAAGGAACATTACACAGCAAAGTACCAGTAGTTGCAAAAAGGGGCCAAAAACGTTTTTAACCGATGGCGAGGAGCAAAAAACTAGAACAATGGATCATACATAAATCTAGTTTAGGGTATCCATTGCACTCGAATGATGTAAAATTTATGTGGCGGCGCTGTCGTCGCGCCGCAACCGAAACACACCGAAGCTTAAAATCACGCTATCAACATTCCAAATCATAAACAGCATATATAGAACATCTCCGAACTATCACACGGAGTATTGGCCGCTCCCCGGGCAGAACACCTTGCCCGGTGGGAGATCTCCCCTTTTCCTACTTCGGCCACAGTGGTGACCATCCGACGTGATCTTGAACACGCAACCAACAACCTTCGGAAACTACAACTTCAAGCCTTCGTTATTATCCTCAAGAACTCCCACCATTCACTATCGAGAATCGTCTTCTGCAGTCTTCAGTTCCTGCAAGCCAGTCCAACTTGTCTTCATCTCGACTCACCGCAGATTTATAAGGCAGACTTCTGGCACTTGCTCCGGCACATCGTTCTCACCGGCATCACTTGCCAGTGCGTACTACGGCATGCATTACACATCGGCATATTATTCGCACCGGTGTCACTTGCCCTTACGCACACAGCGTGCATTCCCCACCGGCATTAAAAGGACACACCGGCAATCGGACTGCACTATCGACCTCCTCCTCCTCCGGTCTGAGCTGGTACAGTCATTTTCGGCCACTACTGCACGTGAAAAAACAGTTCCAATTGGTTTTCCTGGAGAAAAATGGATGAAATTGTTCCTTAAAAGACATCCGCAAATTACTAAGCGGACAGCTGAAGTAATTTCGAGAGAACGAGCTGCAGTGACAAAAGAGTCTCAAAAATTGGTTTGATGAAGTCCACGAGCACCTTGAGTCCGAAAATCAACTAAAAATCTTAAATGATCCTACAAGAGTGTTCAATCTTGATGAAACAGGTGTGCAACTTTTCCCAAAAACTGGAAAAATTCTTGCTCTGAAAAATTATCGAAACACTTTTGATGTTGCGTCAGGTAAAGAAAAAGAGTCTGTAACTGTACTGTGTAACTTCTCAGCAGACGGAACTACTACTCCGCCTTTCATAGTTTTTCCGGGAAAAAGACTTTCTAAGGACCTTATAAACCAAGTTCCAGAACATTGGGGTATTGGGCGAACTGATTCAGGCTGGAGGCAGCTACTTTCGAAGAATATATGAAAATATATTCCACACATGGCTAGTTGAAAACAAAATTAAATTACCGGTGATCGTTTTTATGGATGGTCATAAATCTCACGTGGGCTTGTCACTCCTCGAGTTTTGCGCGGAAAATAAAATCATTCTGTATTACCTACATCCAAATGCTACACACTTGATACGGCCATGCGATGTATCGATCTTCAAAGCAGTGAAAGTGCAATGGCGAGAAGATGTTCGTAAGTATAAGCATGAAACCCAAAAAAGCTTGACAAAAGCCGCGTTTCTGGCACTTTTTGCAAATTCGTTTAAGAAATCAGTTAATCCGACTATTATCAAGAATGGTTTTCGCAGATGTGGACTCTTTCCGATTGACAAAAACGCAGTGGATTTCACAAAATGCATATCGAATAGGTTGAAAGAAATCCGGAACAAGAAGATAACCCATGCTGTCAATATTGATGACTATTTTTCCACTATAAAAGTACTAGAAAACGAAATTGGACCAGAGTTGAAAGAAGATTTTGTTGAAGCTAGGAGAAAAAAAACAGAACCATGAACATGGTTTGTTTAAGCTCTGGAATAAGTGCAAGAAAGAAGTTGAATATTTTAGTAATCAAAATTCTCGTTCACTTTCGAGTGAACAAGCCTCTAGATTGGAGGTCGAGGTCGATGGTCGAGCTTTGATCGAGGATCTAAATATTGACATGATAGATACATTCGTGATTGACGGAGTTGTGCACAGTTTGATGGATAATATGAGTATGCTAGGCTCACCACCAATTATTTCAACCCCCATCGACTTCAATGAAAGCACTAAATCCAAGTCCAGAAAAGCAAGAAGACCGAACTCAAGCTCGTGTCACAGTACAGATTGAAAAAACTGCATCTCGAATAGCGAAAAAAAAACATCCTTGAAATAACTTCGAATAGAAATGATGCCTTGATCAACAAGTCACTTACTGACGCCGGAGATGTATATCCACTTGCTATACCATTGCCATGGTACCCAAGATCTGTTAGTGTAAATGAAGACATACCGATTACTCCTGCTGCACACACCTTAAGTTTGAATTTTACGCCAAGTACATCATCATCAGAAACACTTAGCCTAAATCAATAAATACAGCCACACATCGTTTATGACCCAAAAAGAAGAGTAAGACCAAAATTGATGATTTTCTTACTATGCCAAAGTTTGGCAGTAAAGCTTCAGTAACAAAAACAAACAAGCGGCAGTCGCGTATGCCATTAGCAATAACATCGAAACGTTTTAAAGAATACATGAATGAAAAAGAGCGTGAAAAGAAGGACCAAGACAAAGCTAAACAAAAACGAAAAATAGAAAGAGAGAGAACGAAGAAGAATATCAAGTTAGAACAAAGTAGGAACAAACTGCAAAAGAAAAAGAAAATCTGTAATATAAATGATGTTCAAACAAAAAGAAGTACTAAAACAGAGCAAATTGCAGGTGAAATAAATCGAAATTATTTTAATCCTGGTGAAATTACTGTTGGTGATTATGTACTCGTATATGTTACATTTGGAACTAATAAACGACCAAGGTTTTATGTGGGTCTGGTTACAAAGATCAACAATAAAGACAACAAAATAAAAGTTGATTATCTGCGCAAAAAGTCTAGCAAATTTGACAAATAAATTGTATTTCGTGGAACCGGATGTAAAAGATGTTAATGAGATTGGTATAAAAGACATATGTATTTAATATTACCAAAACCTCAAATTGCCAGAAGAGGAATATTGAACTTTGATTGCCAGGACAATGAAAAAATTGCATTAGATTTGCTGTTAGTAGAATAGGAATAGAGAATAAATTAGTAGACATCATTTCAAAATTTGATTAGTTAGGCAAAGCCTGAATTAAATTTAAATTAAGTACTCAAAAAGGTATACTTATAGGTTTAACTACCTGTAATGTCAAAAAAAAACTATTTCGTGTATTTCATTCAGTTATAAATGAATCTCCAAAGATGCAAAATATATGTACCTGACCTGTACTTTAATACTATTATGTGCATTTATATAGACTAAATACAAAATTTGCTGTAACGCAGATAACATATATGATATATAACGTACCTAATGGTTATGGTATATTATAGATTAAAACTTAAGTTTCTTAGATAATTTTTAGGGATTTTAAAAAAAGTACCATATTTGGGTTGGAATTATTTCGCCGACTTACTGTTAAACTGTTAAAATTAAGATAAGTAAGTATTATGTGCAGACTGATTGTTAATGTTTTAGATTATTTAGTATTACTGTCAGTCTAAAGTTTAATTTATAGCCTCAAACTCCTGTATCACAATAACCCTTAGATGTATTTTAATACGGAACCCAACTAGTTTTCCTTTAATTATTTTAAATTCATAACTATGATAATAATGTCTAAGGTAATAATATACCTCAGGATATTTATTTACATAAGTAAGTAAGCGAAATTATGCTTAATTAATATTTATATTATATATTTTTATATAGAATTTTGCCTTTCATTTTCTTTGTTCATAAATAAGGCTGATTTTGTTCAGAATTAGTTCCAAACCGTTCATAATTGGGGCCAAAGTCACTTTTTTGATATTTTCGCAATTTTAAGATTATTTGAAATAATCTAGAGTTAAAACAGTTTAACTAGTTAATGTACCACATATCTATCTAACTATACAACCAAAAACATTGCGTATTCATTGTATAGAAGATTTTATAAAAAATAAAACCTGAATTCCGCTTAACCGTATATGTATTGGTCCTACTACCCTACATTTCAAAAGTCCTGATGTTATCAACGGTTTTATAATTCGTTCACGATTTGAAATTTTAATAGATTTGGTGTTAGTTATTATAACGTTATTTAATGTATCTATCAATTATAAAGGACTATGGCGAACAAACTGTTGATATAATTATTAAGCGTCTACTTGTTACCGTAACCGACAACAGATATCAATAGAATAATTTACTATGTTTTATCTAATCAAGCTTATGGCCTATCGAAGTCTGGAAAAAATCATCATACCTAATTTAAAACTAAATTGACTAGTTTTGTAGCAAACAGCTGTCGCAAATATAAAAAAAAACTTTTGGTAAATCCAAATGTGCGTGCCTTGTGTTGCGTGCGTTAAATACACACAAGTTTTTACTAATAACCTTATCTTCGTAAGTAGGCCTATTCGATTTTTTTTCGTTTAAAAACTTACGCGCGCGCCTTTTTTAAACTTGTGCCCTTCGGCACGCGCCTAGGTTGTCTTAAGGATAATTCGCCATTGTCCGGAGGTCTCACCATAACTAACAAAACTAGCCCAAACTCAGCACACCTACTACTATTACTACTCTTCGAGGAGTTTCAGTTGCACCGATCTATACCTTCAGGTCACTCCGTCAAGTCCGGGAGTAATGTTTCATCATAACTAACAAAACGAGCACATTCGCGGCACCTAGTTCTACTCGTCGAGGATTTCCAGTAGCAGATACCGAAGTACACCCTCAGGTCACTCCATAAAGTTCAAGACGGTAGTATATAAATCCTACGTACTCTTAGCAGAACAATATATTGTACTAAAATATGTGATTATAAAAATAATAATAATATCTTACCTTGGTCAAGTACTTTTCAAATTTGGGTTTTTGGAATATTTTGTATTTCTACAGCGAACGATATTTTCCGTCACGAGCCGCTGTAAACAAACGATACATTAATCCACTCACGACGGCGGCCGAACCCGGAGTGAGTCAAAGTGTATTTAGTAAAATATATTATCATAACAAGGCTGCTCGAAACACCGATAGTTTCGGAATTTCTCAGCCGAAAAAAACAAAACAAAATTAAACTGCCATTTATATTCCATAGCTTCCCACACGATAGATGAAAAGATTAAAACATAAGTAGATTGAGGTGAAAAATTGATATTTTTAAAAGTTATCGTGCTTACCCTCCATGCGGACATGATAAATCTACACCATAAGCCACAAAAATCACTTTTTAATGTAAAACTAGCAATTAATTGATTAAAAAAAAAATAAGTTCAGCAATCAAGTATTTTTCTGACAATGTGCTTTTTATTAGAGATTGGTCGAATATAAAGTCATTTATTCCAACACTTACATCTACAACACTACACTTACATGTGACAAATTACAATTAAATATAAAACAAGTAACTTATTAGCAAACAAACAAAAACAGTAAATTATACTGAAGAAAAGAAATGCGTCCATTATATTATGTGTATGCAATGTGCTATGATGAAGTGGCAGAAGGAACCATCTCAACATAAGCCGCGAGTTTGCTGCGCTGATTTTTAGACGGCAACAAGTTCGGACGATCAAAGTTTATGCAAGCGAGTATTTTTTCATGATTGAATTAAACCTCATTGAGTTGATTTGGGTTGATGGAAAGGCTTGCTGGCTTGATACAGGCATTGGAGTCTCTTTATAGGGACTTGTGTTAGGATCAACGGGGTCTACTCGGACTAGTTTAGCATCCATAAATGTTTCAGACAGGGCTGTGTAGTTTCCCCGTGGCTGTTCAACCTATTTATGGACAGTTGTTTGGATAATTTGAAAGTTGAAGAATGCGGATTAAGAATGGGTGAGTTAACCGTCAAATGCCTTTTGTACGCCGATTGCGTCGTCGGCGGCGGAGTTGCAAATGATAGTTACATTAATGAACAGATCACTAAAAGATATGTTAAATGGATATATAAAAAAGTATGGAAGTGAACGCAAGTTAGACGAAAGTTACGGGTTTTGAAAGAGAAGAACGTAAAACGATATGTGAAATAAAAGGGGTAAAGAATAGAAGAAGATCGAGCAAGTAGATGAGTTTGTATATTTGATATGATAAGGATGTAGAACGACGAGTGAACGCAGGAAATAGATTAAATGGGGCCCTACACAGCCTACACTCTATTGTGAAGAGTCAGAATGTGTCAAAAAAGGCACGTATGGCAATTCACAATGCTGTGTTGGTCCCTACTTTAACGTATGGTAGTGAAAGTTGGGTGTGGCAGAAGAAGCCCGAGAGTAGAATAAACGCAGTAGAAATGCGGTCGTTAAGGAGTATGTTAGGGCTGAATCTGAATGACAGGGTGAGAAATTGTGTGATAAGAGAAGAGTGTGGTTTGAAAGATGATGTTTACATTTGCTATTTATTTACATTTTGACTTCTCGTTGGCCGTACTTTAATGTAAGGTTCTTTGTTTGATTTCAAAAATATTTTATGAAGCTTTCTATTTGCTATAATTGGAAATAAATCTACAGTGTCTCAAAAACATAACGCTATATAAGTAGATTTAACCCATAAATAAAATATACTTTCAACAGTAAAAATGTGAAAGGCATGACATTACTCAATTCGTACATTTCAATACAGTGGACACTTTGAGTAGCACTTTAAAGAATGTTCGGTGATTTAGCCGAATATTCGGTAAATCTACCGAATATGCCGAGTACCGAATATTCAGCTCATCTCTACTTTTTATATCATTTATATGTTCAATATGATTGTTAGATACGATTTCATGCGACAAAACATCGGATTCTTGATTTTTAGGCGCTAGTAGAAGACATCTACGCGCTTTGCGCTTAAGGTATGCAATATAAACATAATAGTTTTTATCTTAGGAATTTTTTGCGGTTTCCATACTTATGCTTACGAAGGTTTGTAACCCCTGGTTAAACGACCGAAAGGTCATTGTCCATTTTTCTCAATCGATTTGGCACATAGTATAGTCGTACAGATTATTTCTCATAATAAGAGTTAATAATCTTGTTTGACAACTTTTATTTAAACTTTTGTTCTGCAGACAGTGTTAAAAAAGAGAACTACTAACAATAAATTTAATGAAAAGTCTAGATGGCCAGCTTTCTGGCTTATGCGCTTGCAATTTTTTTTATTAATTCGGAATAATTTAACTTCTGGACAATAGAATTTTCTATGGAAAAGATTCCAAGATATGAAAGTCTTTCCTGACACATAATAGAAACGTAGGTAAATTTAAAAAAATTTAAAGTGTTCGTTTTCGTTTAGCCACAGTAGTTTCGTTTAGTACAGTAAGATACACATTTGGGAAAAATATCCTGCCAATCATTATTTTTAATAACTGAGAACTTTATGTGGCTTTGCTGATTGAAGATCAATGAATAATGGGTTCAAGTTCATAAGTTCCTGAACCAATTTGAACTGAACATCTATACAAATCACATTATGCTCATCTGTTGAACTGATTTGCAAATCAACACAGGCTTTTTGACCTTACAGGAATTATTTTCATTATGTATAAAAATGAACACGTATCATAGAATTTTGATAGTTTAAGTGAAGTTACCAATGCACTTTTAATTGTATCAATCATAGGGTAAAAAAACGTTCATTTTAAACAAATCTTTAGGATCTATTGGTGTCTCACCTACGGCTTCGTACACAAATAATATTTACTTTCTTCGGGATCGGGCTGGCTTAAAAATTGGTTCTATCTGTTCTATTGGTCTATCTTGTATTGGCTCTATCTGTTATTAGAACATGCTCGGTACTGTTCCAAAATTCAGACAAAAGTTTCAGACAATACGACACCTTTGGTAAATCCATAGATTCAGACTGCATAGCTTTTTATGTGCGGGCAGCTATAGAATTAGCAGCTA